TAAGTTTATTTCTTTTGAATTAAAAAACAAATAGGAAATTATTGCAGTCCATTGAAAGCTTGGCCCAACTGCCCATTGTCTCTATATTGGTTTTAATGTAGTGTCAAAGCTTGTAATTCACAACTGGGTGAATTTAATGTGTGTTTCAGTTATATGTGTGTTGGCTGATAGGAGAAGCAAAAGAGGCAGATCAATATTCTCGATACTCCAGATTTTCAGTGTAAATTAATATAATTTGAGAACTGTAAACCACTTCAAGAGAAGGCATAGCCCTGGCGGATGTGGCTCTGTTTGTTGGGCGCTGTCCTGTGCTCCAAAGTTTGTTGGTTTGATTCCCAGTCAGGGCACATGCCCCGGTTGTGGGCTCGCTCCCAGTAGGGGGCGTACAGGAGGCAGCTGATCGATATTGTGTTCTCACATCCTGTTTCTCTCCTCTCATTTCTTCTCTCTTTAAAAACTATTCTTTTTTTAAAAAAAGGCATAAAATGATAATTTAAATAAATGAATTAGGAAATAATGATATCTGATTTTTTTCCATTTTCACACATTTACTGCATAGAGCATGACTACATTAGTTTCTTGGGGCTTCTGTAACAGACTACCACAACCCAGTGGTTTAAAACAACAGAAATTTATTCTCTCACTGCTCAGGAGGCCAGAAGTCTAAAATCAGGATGTTGGAAGGGTTGGTTCCTTCTGGAGTCCCTGAGTGGGAATCTGTTCCATGACTTTTTACTTTCTGGTGGCTGCCCACATTCTTTGGTTTGTAGCGGCACCACTCCAATTTCTGCCTCTGTCTTTAATGGCCTTCTTCCCTGTGCCTCTTCTCTGTGTGTCCTCTTTTCTTCTCATAAGGACACTAGTTATTGGATTTAGGGCCCACTCTAATGCAGTGTGACCTCATTTTATCTTGATCACATCTGCAAAGATCCTATTTCTAAATAAGGTCACATTCACAGCTGGGGGTTAGGACTGAACATACCTCTTTAGAGAACGTAGTTCAACCCACTACAATGGCAAATGCATTAAGTTCAAATAGAAACTCATAATTTCTCCTTTCTCCCCATACCCCACTAGCTTTCCAAACCACAACTTTATCAAATTGTCTTACTTAACTTAGTGATTTCCCTTTGCCTCTGTATTTTTGTGTAAGTTTTCTGCTTGGCTCTATCTTATCTACCCAAGATGATTTCTTATTGTAAGAAATCGTTCTCCTTAACCTTGAATCTTATTCATCTCTCTTTGTGCTATTACCCTTGCATGGAAGGCCTTTTTTCCCTCTAAGTAAATCTTCTCATTCCTAAAGGCAGAGATTGTGCTTTATACATTCTTTATTTTCTGTAGCACCTAGCCCAGTGTTAGCACATTTATTGTACTCAATAAATATTTTTATTAGCTTTCTGATAAAGTAAAGGAAATTGGAAAGAAAATTAAATAATGGTTTAATGTGCTTGAATTCCAGAATTCAAGTTGCTTGAGAATCTGTCCATCGTGATGGCTTAGATTATTCAGGTAGGCTGTTGTTTTCTCTTTGATTTAAAACTTCTACCTGGAGTATCAGCACTATATTTCAGTCTTATTCTGGTGCTAGAGCCTATTTTGGTTCAAAAATAGCATAAGGAGATGCTCCAGGCATGTCAGTTACTCTGTAAGAAGTTTTTGTTATTTTTTGTTGATACTGAGTTCAGGGTCTGGAAGATAATTTCTTAATTGGTGGTATAATATCTGAACACGTAAATAAAACCAGCTTTGTAGTTTGTTTTACTTTCTTTATTGTCATCATTGTTACATAGCTGGAAAAGATTTAAAAGTGTTCTAGGATTAGGCCTATAGCAAAAGGGAGAAAGAAGGCCTATAGCAAACTGACTGCTTTCTTGCCCTTGGGTTCTATCGTATGCCACTAAATTCCACAATTGTAAATTTGAAGGACATACGCTAGGGTACCAAATTTATTCTGTGGCCCTTAAGGAGGTCTGGTAAAGCCCAATTCATCCATGTTCTGGTGGACCTCAGGTCCAGTTCAGGTTTCTTACCATTAACAATCCCAGAGCCATTAAGTAGGTGGGAGCGGATTTATGTTTCTGGTTTTTCATGAAGGAAAGGGCAAGAGTCAGGAGTTTCCTTTGAGTGGTAGTGAACATGTCTATGTGTGGTGGTCGTAGCTAGAATGAATAAATATTTGCTAAGCAAATTAACTGGTGCCTGACACACAGTAAATGCTCGAAATGTGTTTGAAAATAAAATAAATAGTACAACTTATAGTCAGAATCAGAGTATATGATTCCATACTTTGCAGTTCAAAAGAGCTCTTTGCTCAGCCTCTCCACATTCTCTCAGTGGGTTGAGACTGAAGCTCATCTCCTTAGTGTCCCATTCACTCCTGTTGTATAATTCCTGTCTTTGCTCAATTAACTCTCATTAACTGGAACTTTATGTAAATGGAAAATGCCTTCCCAGAGGAGCCCCTTCAGTTTTCAGTGCAGTCTCTTTATAGAGCCCTCCATCTTGGAGTTGCAGGGACCCTGAACCTTGCGAAGTCAGGAGCATTGGCACTGTGTTGCCACAGGTGGGGGTTAAAAACCAGAGAAGGCAAGGCTCTTAGTTGGAGTTCCAGTTTCCTAACTAATACAGAGGAAGTGACTGTTGATTACAAGCCATTACTTGCCTCATTAACAGTTAATGAGTCAGTTAGAGAAAGACAAATACCATATGATTTCACTTATATGTGGAATCTAAAATATAAAATATATTAACAAACCAAACAGAAACAAACTCATAGGTACAGAAAACATTTTATGGTTGCCAGATGGGAGCGGGGTGGAAGAAAGGGTGAAAAAGAGGGAAGAATTAAGGTATACAGATTGCAGTTGTAAAAACAGTCATGGATATGTAAAGTACAGCAAGGGACTATACTCAATAATCTACACTAATTAAAGACAAACATGCAAATTGACCATACCTTTGCTACGCCTTAAGCCACGCCCACCAGCCAATCAGAGCAACTATATGCAAATTAACCCAACCAAGATGGCGGCCGGCAGCCACGGAGCTGGAGCGAGTAGGAGGCTTGGTTGCCCCAGTGTTGGAGGAAGCCAAGCTTCCCAGCTGCCGAGGCCAGCTCTGAGCTCCACTCAAAGCAACAAAGTTTCAATTATAGAAGGTAAATAAACCCCAGATACCTGCTTTCAGCCAGCTGTGGCCAAGGAGCTGGAGCGAGCAGGAGAGGGTTGCCCCTGATGATGGAGGAAGCCAAGCTTCCCTTCCGCTCACCCTGGCCGGCTCTGAGCTCCTCTCAAGGCTACAAAGTTTCAATTATAGAAGGTGAATAAATCCCAAAATAAAAAAAAATAAAAAAAGGAGAGGCTGGGAGCTTCCATCACTGGGGGGGGGCTTGGCCAGCCTGAAAACGGCCCTCAGCTCCTCACCCAGACTGGCCAGGCACCCCAGTGGGGACCCCCACCCTGAAGGGGGTGTGACCAGCCTGCAAACACCCATCAGCCCCTCACCCAGGCTGGCCAGGCCCCCCAGCGGGACCCCCACCCTGATCTGGGACACCTTCAGGGCAAACCAGCCAGCCCCCACCCATGCACCAGGCCTCTATCCTATATAATAAAAGGGTAATATGCAAACTGACCCTAACAGCAGAATGACTGGGAATGACTGGTCACTATGACACACACTGACCACCAGAGGCCAGACGCCCAATGCAGGAGCTGCCCCCTGGTGGTCAGTGTGCTCCCACAGGGGGAGCTCTGCTGAGCCACAAGCCAGGCTGATGGCTGCCAGTACAGCGGTGGTGGTGGTAGCCTCTCCTGCCTCCTCAGCAGCGCTAAGGATGTCTGACTGCAGCTTAGGCCTGCTCCCTGCTGGCAAGTGGAAATCCCTCGAGGGCTTCCAGGCTGCCAGAGGGATGCCTGACTGCCAGCTTGGGCCCGATCCCCCAGGGAGTGGGCCTAAGCCGGCAGGTGGACATCCTCCGAGGGGTCCCAGACTGCAAGAGGGCATAGGCCGGGCTGAGGGACCCCCTAGAGTGCACAAAGTTTTATGCACCAGGCCTCTAGTATTGTAATAACTATGTATGGTGTCAGGTGGGTACTAGAATTACAAACATCACTTTGTAAGTTATATAAATGTCTAACCATTATATTGTCCACCTGAAATGTATACTATGTCAACTATTCAACATAATTTAAAATAAAACTGTAATTTAAAATAAAAAAATATTAAAAATAGTTAATGAGTTAGAAGCTTACAGAGTAGAGAAGCTTCTGGCAACTGAAATCTTGTCAGAGAATTGTGGCCTATATCCTTAATAAGGGTCGAGGCTCCTGAGGTAGAGCTCAGAAAGAAAGATGATATACATGTTCCTTTGGAAGAGAATTTAGGATTCTTGATGAAGAACCTCATATGTTTTCTATTGAAAATCACTGAGCCAGGCTTACTCATAAATAGTTGGTGTGTTTGTGGGGGTGAGATTTTTCTCTAGAAAGGTAAGTTCTCAGGAAACTCAAAAGCTTTAGATAAGCAAAAACAGAAGGAAAGGAGACAGACTTCTTTTTGAAGTTAACTATAGGACGCTGCATAAGTTCTGCATAGGGTTGCAGGGCTCTCCAGATCCTCTGCCCTGTTATTTGTTTACCTGTTGAATAAATTATTCATTTTCACACAGTATGTAATGATGCTGCTTCCTTACTCAGCATCATCATTCCAGCAAAGGTGGATTGAGGACCATTCGCCTGTGTTTGTCTGGAGTGTGCATTGCTCCGTTCTTGCCCAGGTCTTCTCCATCTTCCTGAGGAGCAAGGACCTACATATTCATCATACTGGTTTGAATTTTAATTCTTGACTGTTATTTTGAGCCAAATGAAGAAAACCCAGGCCCTTTTCTAGTATGAGGAGCCCACACAGCTGCTTTGGAATGACAGTGTGTCTCCAAGTATGGATTTTGGATTACCAATATCACAGTCATCTTCTGGTATTACTTTAAAGTACCCATTTCTTTACTTACCTGGCAGGGGAGATACCATGATTACAAGGTGGTTTTCACAGAGCGAGGCTTATTCATTGCACTCTGGATGTGCTGACCCCTGTGGTTTCCCCAAAAAGGGAAACTCAACTGCATAATTTATGGTAGTGGGGAACTGCATTTGCAGTCTCCCCTAAGAAAATAAATACCCATTCTTATGATGTACCCCAAACCTACTGAACCAGAGTCTCTGGAATGGGACTTAGGAGTTTGCATATTTAATAGGTTTCCCAGGTGATTCATAAGCATAATAAAGTTTGGGAATCACTGGTTTAGACTCATAGACTTTAAGGAAATAACCTCAGAGTTCCCTTGGGGTGTAGCCTAGGTCCCATTGGAACAAATGCAGCCTGTCTGGTCTTGGAGGTCAGCCTAGGAAAGGTTTGGAGCCTCATTTTCCCCTTTAAATTAAGGTACTACACAATCTGGTAGGCCAGTAAGGACAAAGCTCCTTCCCAAGGTTCACCATTATGTGACAGGCTGCTGTTAACAGGTCCAGGTCAGTTAGCTATTACAGCTGAAGGTGGTTGCAATGTTCTGCTAACATTGTGTTATGAAAACTGGACATTTGCATTATAGTTGACAAAAAGATTAGTCTGAGTAAACACTTTTTGTGCCCTTGGCTCATGCCTTTTCACTCTCGTATCTGTGTGCCAAGTGTGGCTTTTCTCAACTCCGAATCTTAAGAAGTCATTCAGCCTCCACACTTAGATCTAAGTTTCTATCTAGCCATTTGGCTCATTGTTAGTGGAAAACAACACAGACATTTATAATTTAGTCCAATGCTGTCATATTATGGATGTGAAAAGCAAGATTAGGGGTCGGGGTGAAGTGACTTATCTGGGCATGGCCAGGCTCTAACAAGCCCCCAGGTCTTGCCTTTTCTCCTTGGGCTGCCTCCCAGTAGGAAGGAAGTGGCCCTGCAAATTCTCTGCTGAGTCTTACCGTTCTTGGCAGATAAAATATAATGTTCCCATTTCTAAGGATATATTGTGTAGTGTTTCCCTGTGAGAGCAGGGTTATTGCTTTGAATTGTCTGTTCAGCCTGAGATTTGGAGAAATTGTGTCTTTCCTCTGTGTCTTGTTCTACCTCACTGAGCGCTTACCTTTTAGATGAGAGAGGCAGTCCTTGGCTGAAATAAGCTAGGCCAGGGGACTGCCCTCAGTGCCTGTGAGGACAGGTGTGGTGTAATTATCAAGTCCTGTGATAATTGTGACACAGTTAATGAATTGGAAGACTTGTCTCTAAATTACTTTGGAGACTTACAAGTGATTTAGTTAATGGGCTGGAGCAGCTGCCAAGGAGCAAGGCAGTGGGGGATGGATTTAGTTTTATTTTGATTTCTCTGTTCCTCCTTACCCCCTTTACCTGATTTGCTTTGGAGACCACCCTGGTTTATAAAAGAACACACACACATTTTTACTGTGGAATTAGCAGGAAAGCATTCAACAAACAGAGCAAGTGCTAGAGGGTTTGTTGATTCCCTCAGAGGATGCGGGTGACTCTTTATGTCTTCTTTTCAAATGCTCTTTGTAGTTGTTACTGAAGTGATGTTTCCTAGACTGGTCAATCCTTTGCGGAAGCCGGTAACAGGTTAGTCAGGAAGAGTAGGTTTGATAGGGAAGAATCAGGAACTTAGAACTATTTGTTAGAGGGAAGAAAAACCCTGTGGTTAGTAGGCAGTTTGAAGTTTGAGTCAATGGCTTTGACTTGTGAAGTTTGAGCAAAATCTAAAATGTCCTTGATCATGTAGCAGCTACTGCTTGTTCCCTACTTAGTATACATCCTCTTATTATTCCTTATTTAAAGGACCCTTATTTTGTCTAGGCCCAGCAACAGTATGCCAGATAAAAATACCTTAGAGACTCTATCTCTCCCTCTCCCTTTCACTCTCTAAAAATCAATGGAAATCCCTTGCAACTAAGGGTATCCATGTTAACCTAGGTCTCACCAGCGAGTTCTAAGTGGAAGTTTACTGGGTGGAGCTCTGGGAATGCCATTTTTTTTCAGTGAAAAGGGACAGACAAAGCTGTGGCTTGCCTTTGCCCGGGGCCCTGGCCCTTTCCGCCTAGTAAATTAGTGCATGCCTAGGGATGGAATGACCATCTTGAAATTATGAGGACACAAGCCACGTGCTCAGATTGGCAGAGTAGGAAGCTAGATATCTGGGTCCTGCCTTGATGACTTTGAACAACTGTTCCAATCTTCTTTTGGACCTCAGGTTACATGAAAACAACAACAACAACCTTTCTTAGTTTAAGCTCTTGTAGTTGGATCTCTGTTATATAAATACTACTTTGGGGAACTGCTGGTTAGGTGGTCCTTATATATGGTATTTGTAATTAAAGTCTAAGCCAATAGACAGTTCAACTTATAGAGTTGGACATCTTAGATACAGAGAGATTTCCATCTCTGATAGACTTGCTTTGTTGGAAGTTATAGGACACCAAGATAGAGAAACTTGCCAAACGTTGTTCTACCTAGAGCAGTGCCTAGCAGCAGTCAGGGATTATCCACACTGCAGCCCAGGGTGGAATAAGGATTACTTCAAAAATCAGAGCAGTTAGGCCCTTGCTGGTTTGACTCAGTGGATAGAACGTTGGCCTGTGGACTGAAGGGTCCTGGGTTCGATTCCGGCCAATGGCACGTACCTCGGTATTTCTGTCTATCTCAGCAGTTCTCAACCTGTGGGTCGTGACCCCTTTGGCGGTCGAACGACCCTTTCACAGGGGTCACCTAAGACCATCCTGCATATCAGATATTTACATTACAATTCATAACAGTAGCAACATTGCAGTTATGAAGTAGCAACGAAAATAATTTTCTGGTTGGGTCACAACATGAGGAACTGTATTTAAAGGGCCAGAAGGTTGAGAACCACTGGTCTATCTCTTCCTCTCCCTTTCACTCTCTAAAAATCAATGGAAAAAATATCCTCGGGTGAGGATTTAAAAAGAAAACAGAGCAGTCAGGAGCCAGCTTTAGTGCGACTCCCTTGTCTTAAGGGGGATGAGCCCTGAGGGCATGACTGCTTTTTCCCTTTCTCCTTATTTTACTAAAATAGAAAGTACTTCTTTATAATTAGTCCATTAGGAGTGGCAGCAAATGTGTGATGAGTCTGTCAGTTTGGGAAGTTCCTGAAGAATTTAAATTTAGATTGAACTTAGTCCAGAAATAATGGTGTGATTTCTCACCTGAAGAGATGGTCAGTGTTGCATCAGATGCTATGCCCACAATTTTACAACCACATCTTCCTCAAACTTGCCATTTAGTCTTCGCAAAGATTTTCTATAGCTTTTTCGCAGCATGCAACAGAAACATCTTTTGGTTCTGAATGAGAGGATCAAGAAAATCAGGATAATTACATTGCTGACATTTACCACTTGAAACCACTGCGCTGCTCCTTCCTGACATTATCTGTGCGGAACAGGAATGCTTTAGTCTCATCCCTCATTTCAGTACTTTGCATGAACATCTTGGCAGTCAGAGTATTTCTCAGGGGAACAATCCATCCAAGGCTCTCTGCCCATTTCTTTGAAGAGCATGTTGAGAAAACAAATACTTAGCTGCAGTGATTTGATTCTGTCATATTTTAAACTACTTTTTGCAGCACTGGATTAAAATTAGGAGGTATATTGTGTCATCCGTTGTAGTGAATAAAGCAGTGTGTGTTTTGGCATAAAGGTAGATTTTCTTTTACTCACTGTGAACATATCAGTACGACCCTAATGTACCTTTTCTAATTTTCATAATAGCTTCCAAAAATAAAGTTAATTAAAGAAAAATCTTGTCTTTAGATTGGATTTTTGGTGATAGAACAGAGTTTTTAAGTACGTTTCTTAATTAAAGGCAAGAAGTATTTGTAGTGAAGGGAAATACACCTGTTTAACTTTTTTGAACACCTCTATCAGGAAATACTGCATGTGTAGTGGAAAGAGTATGGATTTGGGAACCAGGAGGCTGGGTTCAGTGCACCTATAACTTAGTTCATAGGTGGATGATAATTTGGTAAAGGGCAATGATATTTAGAAAAGTATTTGCTTACATTTAATGGGGCATCTGTTATGTTTTTCTGCATTTGGATTTGGGTGAACATGATCATAAGTGAGTGTTTCGGGATGTTTAGGGATGTTTATTAGAATATATCTGTGTGGATGGAGTGAGGGGAGAAGATAAACCTATTCTGTGTTAGCTTTTGTTCTTTACCTTGTTTTTATGTTTCTTGGCAACAGTAACTTTGATAAAAGAGATATCTCTAGGCCTAATGAGACAACAAACTAAAAAATAAAAAGAGAGACTATAAATAGCACTGAGGACCAACACGGATTTCTGTTAGGTGTTCTCAGTCATTGGGTTTTCTTGTGAGACTTTTGTTTTATTAAGAAAAATAGAATAGCCCTAGCCAGTTTGCCTCAGTGGATAGAGTGTTGGCCCTCAGACTGCAGGGTACCGGGTTTGATTCTGGTCAAGGGCATGTTCCTTGGTTGTAGGCTCAATCCCTGGCCCTGGTCAGGGCACGTGCGGGAGGCAACCAAATGATGTGTCGCTCTCACATCTATGCTTCTCTCTCTGTGTCTCTCCCCTTCCTTCCACTCTCTCTAAAAACCCGTGGGAAAATATCCACAGGTGAGGATTAACCAAACAACAACAACAGTAACAACAACACACACACATACACAAGAAAAATAGGATAAAATCAAATCAAACCAAACAGATAAGACAGCCAAGCTCTAGAACTGGAAAATATGACTCTGTTTGTGAATTGAAGATATAATTGTTTCTCTGGTTGGGTGGCTCGGTTGGAGCGTAGTCCTGTACAATGAAAGGTTGTGGGTTCGATCCCCAGTCGGGGCATGTACGGGAGGCAACTGATCGATGTTTCTCTCTCACATCAATATTTCTCTCTCTCTAAAATTAGTAAAACATATCCTTTGGTGAGGATAAACAAATAAAATATATCTGCCTTATTTTATAAAAAAGGAAAAGAAATAATTATTCCTCCAGTCCCCCATTCTCAGACTACCTGAGGGGACAAAAAATACTGTGGTCCATTTATTGTTAGAGGATCTACCTGGCAACCGCAAAAATTTCCCACTAAAATGTAAGTTAGTAAAATATGCTAGTTTTGATGAG